ATAAACGTAGAGTTCCCAATGGCACGTAATTAGATTCTTTCGTTGCGGATAATGAGATGAATATAGAAATATAGAGCCTAATTTGCATGTATGAATGTTGTTTAGGACGTCGTCGCCGGCGATACAGTCCGTCGCTGTTCGCTGTTCCGTTCCATCTGATGAACTGTAGACAACGAGAGCTGCAAAAAATAGGCAGTATATCTGGAGTATTGAATAGTTTTTATTTGAGTGTGATATTTACGTATATATGAGTTAAACGTTATCCGGCTAGAAATAATTAATCGAATCGGCATCATATATTGTAATATATATAATCTCTAAAACTCACCTTTAAAAAAAGGTAAAAAAAGGCGACCAGTTAAGGGCACGCCATTAACAAAAATTATCCATTGCAAACCCATGTAGAATCCTATCCTATTGCAAACCCATGTAGAATCCTATAAAAAATTAATCATTGCAAACCCATGTAGAATCCTAGGCAAAATTAACCATTGCAAACCCATGTAGAATTGTATTAAAAATGATCCATTGCAAACTTATGTAGAATCCTACATTGCAAACCCATGTACAATAGAATTGTATGAAAAATTATCGATTATAAACCCATGTACAATCGTAACAAAAGTAATGAAATAAAAAAAAATTGCGCCAAGTGAAAGTAGAAACTTGTACCAGTGGAAAATTAAAGTTGCAGACATATATAGAGTCGTATAATGAATCAGTAAAAATTTAAATTTGCAAATGTAGAATCGTACCATAAAAAAACTTATCTTTTAAAAAAAAAGATAAACAAGATGCCAAGTCCATGCGCCATGTGAAAAAGAAATAAAAAAATTTTAGTTAAAAAAACTGGGCGCGCTGCTAAGTTTCAAAATTACAATGCACCTTAAAGTAACATTAATTAATTTAAACACAAAACATATTTTAACTGTAATGAGTTTAAAAGTAACAATTTAATTTTAATATTGTTAGAATATTATTTAGCAGCGCTCCCAGTTTTTTTAACTAAAATTTTTTTTTTCTTTTTCACATGGCGCATGGACTTGGCATCTTGTTTATCTTTTTTTTTAAAGATAAGTTTTTTTATGGTACGATTCTACATTTGCAAATTTAAATTTTTACTGATTCATTATACGACTCTATATATGTCTGCAACTTTAATTTTCCACTGGTACAAGTTTCTACTTTCACTTGGCGCAATTTTTTTTTTATTTCATTACTTTTGTTACGATTGTACATGGGTTTATAATCGATAATTTTTCATACAATTCTATTGTACATGGGTTTGCAATGTAGGATTCTACATAAGTTTGCAATGGATCATTTTTAATACAATTCTACATGAGTTTGCAATGGTTAATTTTGCCTAGGATTCTACATGGGTTTGCAATGATTAATTTTTTATAGGATTCTACATGGGTTTGCAATAGGATAGGATTCTACATGGGTTTGCAATGGATAATTTTGTTAATGGCGTGCCCTTAACTGGTCGCCTTTTTTTACCTTTTTTTAAAGGTGAGTTTTTAGAGATTATATCATTCATTTTTGTATATTTTTATGACCGGAATAGAACAATTATTAAACATGTTTATCTAAACTTCTTTGCTTAAAATGATGTGTACAATCATATCCTAGAATCCTGATCATTCCTCCTAAAGCACCCTATTTATATAAATTTACCCATATGTGTGTGTGTGTGTGTGTGTACTAATGTCGAGCATTTTTTATACATTTTCTATTAAATTTAGATAAAAGTTGCAGGATTTCGAAAAGAAAAAGTTGACACAGACTTTTTCCTAAACGGCGATTTTCAAGGTTATTTAAAGGTCACTTATATTTTCAAAATAGAATTACCTTAATTTTTCTCATATAAATCGATTCCTCGCAATATTTACTATAAAAAGTTGTAAAGGTATAATTTTTACATAATCTTACATAAACTTCGAAATATTACAAATATTTTATTCTATGAAATATTTCAGTTTATGTAAAATTATGTTAACTATCTTTTAAATTATTCACTTTTAGCCATCTTACCCTTACAACCTTTTATAGTGAATATTGCAACAAATTGGTTTATATATATAATATATATATAACATCAGTTATTATTAATTGATGTTTACATTTATTTTTAGACTTACTAGAGCTCAAATGCTCCACATTTTTTGCAAAAACTGTTTATTCTACAGATTTCAAATATGCTTTTAAATGATGATTGAATATTTCCTTTTTTTAATTATTTTTATTATTATTTTTCAATCTCAATCAACTTTTATAACTTTATGCCAGCACGATACAAATACATGTGTCTTTATTTTTTTTATTATTTTCATTATTATTTTTCAATCTCAATCAACTTCTATAACCTTATGCCAGCAGGATACAAATACATGTATGTCTTTATTATTGTATCAACTCTTGTCTTTTCCATGTAACCATGTCTTCATAGTTTGAATTATCCCTTCATCTTCTCAATCTTTCGCAGAGATTTAATTAATTAAATACACTTCACACGAAATAAAGTTTGCTGGAAGATATACAGCAAACGATAACTGTAAAAACATGATTACGTGGAAAGAACAAGAGTTGGTACAGTAAAGGCAAGTAAGTAAGTACATGTAATGTATCGTATTGGCATAACGCTATATCCGCGGAGCAGATAATGTGGCTGTAGAGGTAGTCTGCAGTGCAGCTAATGTGGACGTAGATGTTGATTGAGATAATTGTCTAATATAAAATAGAATTTAAAAATTTAGTTTAAAAAGCTGTTGCATATATAAATAAAGTTTATTTTTTCTAAATTTGGAATATGTTTAATTAATTAATTTTTAAGTCTATGTTTAATAAATTTTTTAAGTCTGTATTCAATAATTTTATTCATTTGATAAATACATGTATGTCTTTATTTTGATAT